CTGACTACTCCACCGTCTTGGCCCCACCTCCCTGAATTATCATATTTTAGAATTAAGTCTTTTCTTTATAACTTCTGTTATCCATGTTGTTTGGAAAATTCAAAATTATTCTGTTTATTTCTAAATTCTTAGATAGTTTGGATGAGATTGCATGAGCTTCTGTTGTTTTTCAGAATAATGCTACCAAAAACCATTTAGGATAGTCTAATTTTCAAACTTGTGAATAGAGTTATGTGTGTGTTTTTTGAATTACGGTTCAAAGAATCGGTAAGATAGTTTTTTCATTACTAAGAACTAGAAAGAACTGATAACTTTATGATTCTGAGTGGAAGGAAAGACAAATAACAAGTAAGTTATAAAGATGAAATATATTGGGAAAATATCTTTTATTTATTTTCTAATCTATGTTATTTCTTTTTAAATTCACATTTAAATTTTCTAGGATAGCTACCATTTTCTTATCGGTTTGAAAATAAAGGAGCTCAGTGGCATGAATAATCTTTGGCAGAGAGTGCAGAGGCTGGTTGAGAAGCAGTATAATAGCTTTCTTTTTTTTTTAAGATAAGAGATAAAGCAAGGAATTACGGAGTCTGTTGAGGTGGCATTATGGGAGAAAGTCCACCTGGAAACATGGCAACAGAATGGTTAGATAAAGTGATTATGGAATGCTTCTAGGGTTAGATATCAGACAGTATATTAAATGCCTGTTAATTTGGGGGTAGGGATAGGGTAGGAAGAGAAGATTGCTGTTTTTACTTGGGAAGATATGGAATAAATCCAGAATGATACTTTAAATAAAATTGAAAAAAAAAAAAGATACTTATGAAAAGGTTGAAACTCCTGGGATAATTATAGTGGTTAAAAGTAAATGTAAGGAGACTTTATGTTTAGAGCTGAGAAATGATTAAACAGTTGGATAGGGGAAAATCCCTAGGTTTTAATGAACTATAATTGAGCTGTAATATTTTTAAGTTAGCATAAGATTAGAATATAGTAGTTGAAACCATGAAGTAATCTTTTAACTATATTCTACAGATAGTATAACTGCTTTTAACTCTCTGAAAATATTGGAAAGGAAGAATAATGAAAACTAAGGAAAATTTGGAAAATAAGTCCAGTGAGCAAAATTTAAGGGGATTAGAATTTTGGAGAAGAAAATGGTTGATAATCTTAATAAGCATATTTACATCTATTGAAGCAATGTATAAAATTGTATTACCATATTATTATATTAAAAAATCTACATAAGAAAACACTACAAGAAATTACACAAATATTAACAGTGATTACATTTAGTTGGTGAAACTTGGATGGTTCTTTTCTACTTTTCTCTTTTTCCTAAGAAGCCTTTGTATTAAATTTCTGGTTACAAGTGAGAGAAGCAATTCAGACTAGCTTAAGCAAAAAGAGAAGTTATTATCTGATACGAATTAAAAAATTCCAAGAATATGCATTGGCTCCAGGTCTGCCTGGACAATGTGCTTATATGATAGCGTTAGCAATTGTCTTTGTCCATCTTTTACCTCGGTTTTTCTCTTAGTTGCCTTCATTCGAAGGCACTTTCTTCTCAGATGTTCCAAGATGGCTATTCATAGCTCAAGGCTTCCATCCTAGTAGCTTAGAAAGCCCTACAGAAAGAAAAGTACCTTTTTCCCAGTAGTTCCAAGAACAAAATCCCTGGGCAGATGCCTGTTTGCCCAGCTGAGTTACTTGCCCATTTCCTGGACTAATCACTGTGGCTCTGATTAGGCAGTCCTGGGTTGTTACCACTACTGCAGCATAGCATTAGAGCCCAGGACAAAGACAAGAGAGCTAAAGAGTTTACGAAGAGCTTGGTTTGGGGGATGTATTACTTTGACATTGATAGCTATGAATGTGTTCTGCCCACCCCATCCCCTTGCCTCCCCTCCCCCCAAAAATTATCAATGTGAAGGAGATACGATTGGAGGTGTAAATGTCTTTCTTACCTTTGAGGCTGGGAGAATGAAGGGCGAGTTAACGAGCAGAGTGGTTTCCATCAGCCAGGTCCTTCATGAGGAGTTTGGCAGGCTGTCCTTAAACCACAGCCTACAGAGTGAGAGACTCCTTTTTGCCTTTCACCAACTAAAGGAGTTTAGCCGTTAAGGATATCCTGGCAACGAGACCTGTGTACCAGTAAGCCACCAGAGAAAAAGAACTTCCATCTCAGCAAGAGAGATGAGAACAGATTGAATAATCAGAACACATGCCCCATGAAAAAGAACTCTCAGAGTTAGATGAACACTTGAGTTTTTTAAATCATAAAAAGTACTTAAGGAGATTTACGTGTAATTTGGAAAAGTCTTCCTAGAGCTTAAAAATATGTTTTTCAAACTAGAAAGTTTACAAGAAGAGGATGGTCGCAGTTGAGACTTGAATTATAGCTAGACCAAGTGCAGAAACAACCTTAAAGTACAGGACTGAAACATCAAGAGATAGAAAACATGAAGGAAAAAGATAAGAGACTTGAAGGGTGAATAATAGTTGACCTAGTAGCAGAAAAAGGAACAGATGCAGAAAGGAAGCAATTAAATAATATTAGAAAGTTTCAGCTGAAGACTTGAACCTACACATTGGAAGGGTTTATTGAGAAAAGACACATTCCTAACCCTAGCCTGATAGTATTGATTTTATAGATAAGGAGAAAATTTTACACATCCAGGCAGTAAGATGAGGTTATCTGCAGAGGGTGTTGGGGGAAGGGGTAGGTAGGCAGTGGTAGGTAAACATTAGATATCTTATCTGCAGCGTTATAAGCTAGAAGAGTGACGTCTCCAGTCTAATGAGACAAAAGGACCATAACCTAAGAATCCTGTACTCAGCCTTCATATCAGTTATCTATCAGGATTAAAGAAATTTATCCCAGAACATTCAGAGACTCAGAAAGTTTATTACTGACAAACGTCATAGAGAAAATTACTTTAGGGGAAAGACCTTTAGCCAAATAACAGATGAGCCAGAGCAGAACCCCCAGTATAGTATGAGAGGAGGTGAAAGGGAAAAGAGATTGTGATGAGCAATGCATTTTGATATACATGAATTTATGAAAAAGAATAACCTGAGGATAAGTAACACCTCGAAATATCTTTCATGGATGGGGGTGAAATAAAGACATTGTCAGGGAAACAAATGAGAGAATTTGCCACGAGTAAACCCTCACTAAAGGAAATCCTAAAGGAAGGTGCTTTACACAGAAGGAGGTCTGAGATGTAAGAAGGACTGAGATGATAAAGGAATGAAAAGCAAAAAAAGTGGTCAATCTTTGGGTAAGTGTAAAAGAACATTAAATCTTAAGCCCTTATGGGATTAAAAAGGAAAAAAATTGTAGTATTAAGATACAAGGCAACAATAATAAGGAAGAAAGGGTGAAAATAGATTAGAGTGTTCTAAGATCTTTTAATGAGCAGCTGTGACTTTTATTTGCCCAGAATACAGAATAGAATGTAGAACAGCCTTTTAGCTTTTCAGTCAGACATGGAATATGTTGAGTTTTCAGGTCATGAGACATTCATATTCAGTGTAAATATAAAATGCATTATGTACCAAAATAGAATTACTTTTATCTGTTTCTGTTACTTTGAATTATCATACCCTTGCTGCTTTTCATTGGTCAGCAGTTAGCAAATATCTTCATTATTATTAATATCCCTTCTGATGCCCACCCAGCTCCATGCAACACTGCTTCTTTGAGGTATCTTTCTTAATAGTGTGTCTCTGTAGGCTTCCAAGCTTTTCTTCTGTATATTTGCGAAGATATGCATAATTCCATTGGTTCAGTGAGTGAGTGAGTTTTTTGTTTCACATAATGTTCTGTGCCTTGCTTTATTTACTTTATATCTCTTTAGATTCTTCCATGCCAATGCACATTATGTGTTTCGTTCTTAAGTGAAGTTTTGAATAGAAGGGATATGCCATACTTTACTTGACCATTCCTATAGTCTGATATTAATGTAATCAAATTAAAAAACGTTTGGTGCAGAGAACCTCATTTTTAGCAGAGTGTACTATTCTGTGAAACCTAATTCAGCTCTGAATTATAATTTTTAAATCCATTAAATATTTTGCATTAGTATCTTCCATTGGAGAGGAAAAAGATAATTCAGATGCAGTAAATACCTTAGGAAAAAACATCTAGGTTATCTTTTCCCTCCCCAGTGGAAGACACTAATTTTAGTCATTGTAAGATGTGTTTGATGATAAGAAATCTGAGTATTACATATATAGAGGGTTTTGTTGGGGTAAAAGCACTATTAAAATACCTATAATAAAAAGAAAATTTTACTTTTTCTCAATAAGCTTGTAAAAGTGCCATATTGTTTCATTAAGTACTTTGAGTACTTAATTATTGAAAAGATCCATGGGTGTCACAAGCGGTTTGTGATCAGCTTTTAACCTAAAGATTGGCAGTTCGAACCCACATAGGTGTGCCATGGAAGAAAGGCCTGGCAATCTGCTCCCATGAAGATTACAGCCAAGAAAACCCCATAGAGCAGTTCTACTCTGTAACACATGGGGTCACAGTGAGTCAGAATCGACTCCATGGTAACGGGTTTGGTTTTTGGGTTTTAATAATTATTAGCTAAGAATTTGGTATAAAAAGCCCTAGTAGATTATTCTTTGAGTGTTAAACTTGATATGGTAATAATCATAATGATAATAACGGTAGCTAATACTTATTGAGCATTAATTTTATTTTGGGCACTTTCTGTGGATTACCTCATTTAATTCTTTCAACAATCCTGTTAATAGGAGGTACTATTATTGTCTCTGTTTTACAGCCCATAAAACTAAGACTTAAAGAAGTTATATACTGTCTAAGGCTTTACAGTAGTGATCAAAGTGAATTATAAACTCCCACTTTAATCATTTTTACAGCTCATTTTAATAAGATAGACAGCAGTATTTGAAAGAAAAACTACTAGAATCATGAACCTTTTTGTAGTGAGTTTTTTTTTATGGGTATGTATTGCTTTTTTCTTTAGGTTCACAATATTCTTGCAGAAATGGTGATGGGGGGAATGGTATTGGAGACCAACATGAATGAGATTGTTACACAAATCGATGCACAAAATAAACTGGAGAAATCTGAGGTAAGAGTGGAGAATGCGCTAATTAATGAGGATTCCGAGCATGATCATAAATTATGCATCATTTGTAGTGTTCACTGTTCGTCCTTCAGTATCACCTTTAGGTACAGCTGATACGCTTATTCTCTTAAAAGAAAATGGAATATGCCCATTATAGTATGTTCAGTGTTCCGTGACTAGTGACCAGTATCCACCTAATAGCTTTGTGTATTCGCCTTTTAGCCACAGCCATAATTGCCTTGGGTCATAAGTACAATTCCAAATTTTTATTGCTTAAAAAAAGAAGTGTTTATTTAAATAATGAAAGCCAATATTTGCTTTAAAAAATTTTAGTCAGTACTAATTGTCATGGAAATCCCAGAATTGATATTTTAAGGATATATAAATTTAGTGTTATAAAACTGTTTCTGGAAAGGAAAGGAGACAAGATGGCGTTGTCATGAGGAAGTAATGCTATAAGTTGTAACAGGTGATTAGCAAGCGAGTGCAGCATTGAAAATAGAACTTAATTCCTTTAATCTTAATTCTGGATCCTTCAGAAAGGTCACTGACAAGTTAGTTAAATCATATACTTTATACTATGACATGTATTCATGGCTTTTATTGGATTCTGTAAGAGAAAGATTTGGTTTATTATACGTGGCTAATTTTGTGCTGTTAGATTGAAACAGATTGGTAAAATGAGGACCAACCAGCACTTTAGCATTGTATAAAACCCTTCTTTAGAATTTTAGTGATTCTACCCTCAGGTACTAGGCTGAATATAGCAACAGGTGCTGTAGCTGAGCCACTCATTTCACATCATTTTGGTTGTTTCTGATTACCAAAGCAGAGGTTCAGAAAGATGGATCGTCTCGGTATCCCATTCAACACTATACTTGTTTGAGAATACTTCTTACCTTTGGTGTCTGTACTCAACCTAGATTGAAAAAGTAAATTTTGTTTATAATTTTTAATATAAATACAGGTGTTTGGTTGATTTAAAGTAAATATTACTATAAAAGCATCAAGGTATCAAATACGTCAGCATTAACTTAGAACAGGTGAGTTCTGAGGAATTTGTATCTTGTTGGCATTTTAAAGAATCGATTTGAACACAGTCCTGTGCTCATTAGGGTTGAATGAAACACAGGATGATGAATAAATATGAAATCTAAGGGTTAGAAACAGTCAAAGCTTTATGTAAAAATTTCTCCAGTTTTTCATTTTACATTTAATAGTCCTGCATTTCTCCTTATCTAACTTTACTATTCCTATTGGTTTCCCAAGGAGAGGCTTGTAATGGTGAAGAAGAACTTAAAATCATGACATTGTAAAATAACTATATATTTTATGTGTTCTATGGGCAGTATTTTAACTGAGGAAAACATAAGCTAGGTTATTAGAGAAGTTTTTGCTTTAGGACAAGGAAAAGGACTCAGAATATTTGTAATGTACTATTTAGTATAGTTGCTTTGTAATATATTATTTAGTGTAGTAAAAGATTTATTATAAATCGTAAGCTATCATTTTTAAAGTATTAAAATGAATAACTTGAAATGTATGTAATCTTTTAAACATTACTTTACAAAACTGTGTGGTTTTAGATTTTAAATGCCAAGGAACAATGACCTAACCCATTAATAATCAGCCTAAAATGAATGGCTACGTGATAATTTGTGAATTCTGTGTAATCATCTGTAAAAAATATATTGACTACTTGTCTGGAATTTTCACATTTCCAGGTACTAACTCCTTTCCATTGGCGGTGTCCTTTTTTTTTTTTCTTTTGCTCCTTAGTGTTCTGTGCATAATATTGACATAAGTCATGAAGGATCTATAGTAATTGCATAATGGATATTTCCCTTTTGATTGTCCAGTAAAACTTTAACAAGGCAGTTTTTCTTATCTATAAGAGCAGTAAATGCAGAATTTACATTTTGGATTGCAATAGTTGTAAGAATACCATTAACTATATGAGAATACTTCCTAAAAAATCCTTTCACAGAAACAGTACCATTTAAAATAGTTTAGAATACTGATAAATACTTCTATTATTCATCCATTGATCATCTTTTAACATATATAATTAGTTGTTATCTGCTATCAAATTAGTTTTTCTTTTTGTCCTTTGCAAGAAAGTATGGTTTAAATCCTTTTTATTGGGGATAAACCACATTATACATTTACCAAGTGTTTCTCTGCATGTGATGTTTGCTGAAATTTTAACTCTCAAATAGGATTTTGAGTCAAAGTGAGGCCATTTAGTCCTGATCATATTTTAAGAAATCATGTGGAAATTATGTTTACTTTGTATAATTTTTCAGTAGTTTGTGAATATTTTAAGTATGTTTGGAAGGTTGTCAGCTTAATCCCAGACAAAATGAAATCCCAAAAGTTTTAATGTGAGTTCCCTTTCCATGGTCCTTTATCTGGTTAACTCTAGGAGATGTATGACTCTCCAGAATAATCTAAAATTATTTGAGAGCAACAAGTAAACTTTTGTTAATCTGGTTCTAACTAAATTTCAGTTAAAATTTATTATGTAAGCAAAAACTTACCAAGAAAGACTTAATTAAAACTCAGATCAGAATAATTGATGATTATAACTGGTTGTATTTTTAAATTCATATAAGTACTTTTTTAGGAATAGTGTTTATCTTTTAAAAATCAATGTGGGTATAATTAAGGTACAGCTTTTAAAGTATAACATGAATCTAGATGCCTTTACATTTTCAGAAATCAAAGATTTTATTATATTGTCTTAAAGATAGTACATTTCCAGTGATAGATGAAAGTGAAGCAGTTTAATTCCCAGTACCTAGACAAGTAGAAGCAAAGATCTCACAGATCCTTAATGAGAGGAGAAGCAAAGATATGCTCTGAATGTATTTTCATCTATTCTGCTTTGATAGAAAAATGGTTTACCTTAACGTTGGGTTCTGGGGCCAAAAGGGTTTAAGCCGGGAGGTTGGTGGGGTTTTGGGGAAGTGTAAGAGACACCCAGAAATCTGCCAAAGAATAAAACGGCTCCCTGTGGGTGGAGGTAGAGGGGTGGGGATGGGGAGACTTATTAGCTTTTATGTGTTTTGTGTTATTTTTAAGATGGCTAAATGAGTCTGAATATAGTCACTACTTTTTTAAAGTCAGTCTCTTTTTCCGAACATCCTGATCTTTCTAGCTCTTTCCATTCTTCTCTCTTACAGACCTTTATCTTTCAGTCTCCCAGACAGGACAGGTAGACAAGGTATTGCTGACTTTGAGAAAAATGTACTTTAACAAAGGGAAAGCAAAATGACGTCAAAGACAATTAATTATTTAGGCCAGACTCAAAAATTCTTTGTGTTAATAAACCCATACAGTCCCTGTAGCCTATTTTCCATTCTAGTTCCTCCTTGTAGTTTCTTCATCTTTTATTGGACTTAGTGTATTTTACTAGTGTATCATTGATGTCATGTTTGTTGTGTTTTGTCTGCCTGCATTGTAAAAGGAAAGTTTAATTTTTTTTAAACATTGTCATTTAACTGACAAATTACATTTGTAGAAATGACAATTTATCTCATATATAAAACCTTAGTGTGTGAGTGTCATATGGCAGAACCAATCTTAATTTAACTCTCAGAGGTATTTTCTTTTTTTCATCTGTAAATTAGGATTTTAACATAAAATTGCCTGCTGGGTTTTGAAAGCTGTGAATTTAAAAATCAAAAAGCTGAAACTTCATAATTTTACATACAAAGTGGCAAGCAGTGAAGGCTTGAAATAGTTGACTGTTAAATAGTACTTTTTTCCCTAAAATGGTTTTCAGTTCCAGAGTCTTAACAGAATTACCTTTACAGTTTTGACTAAACCAAAAAAAAAAACCCTTTGCTGTCAATTCCAACTCATAACAACCCAACAGTTTTGACTTAGCAGGTGCATATTAAAAGTGACCAGCAAAATTGGATTAGAAATCTTCTAAAACTTGGATTAAATGCTCTAATAATTGAGTTAAATACACCAACCAAATAAAAAGGATTTCTACTGTAGCATACCTCCTTACATCTAAATGTTTCATAATCAGACTCAATAAAATATTGTAAATATTGTAAACCCTGGACATTCTTGCAACACATACTGACAAAGTTGGAAATGTTTTCATAGACTCCTAGCAAAAAGAGGCAGTGATGGTTTAGTGGTAGAATTTTTGCCTTCCACGTGGGAGACCTGGATTCGATTCTCGGCCAATGCATGTACAGTGCAGCCATCACCTGTCTGTCATTGGAGGCTTTCATGTTGCTACGATCTGAATAGATTTCAGTGGAGCTTCCAGACTAATACAAACTAGGAAGAAAGGCCTGGCAGTTTACTTCTGAAAAATCAGCCAATGAAAACCATATGGATCACAATGGTCCCATCCCACTGTGCATGGGGCTGCTGTGAGTCAGGGACCACTCAACAGCAGCTAACAACAACAGCAGCTTTACACATTTTCATCTGGTATTGAGTCCTATGGAGGAAAAAATAAATCTATAAACTTAGCAAGTTAAATCATTAGTCATTAGAAAAATTCACTGGGAATTTGACATTGCTTTTTAGCCACTAAATTATTACTCACTGGACATGTGTGAGAAGCAAGTAGTACAGAGATGGCTTTATAATCTCTTATCCTGCAGTGAGCCTGTGTGCCATGTCATAAAGCTGGAGTACCAGTTTGGTCTCTGGATCCCATGTTACTTTATCCCTGATAAAGAAAATACATAGTGGCCACATTCAGTACATTGATCCAAATCGCTGCCAGTTTGTATGTTCCAGTCTTTAATTTATGTTGAACTTCTCTTCTCTAGCAAAGAGTAATCAATACTTAGATCTCTTAAATTCCATCACTAGAACTGCTGATTGGCTTTTTAACAAATCAAATTTCTATTTTCAAAGAGTAGAAGATAAGAGAAGTAGATACAGATACAGATGTTGGAAGGTCAGCTAGTTAAGTGTACTGTTATTTTTTCTTTTATAAAATTACTGTGAGGACTCCTGAGAGATCTCTTGTAAAGGTAAAACTAGTTATATTAAATCCATGAATGCCACTGGTCTGCTGTATTTATTTCATGCAGGCAAATCCTATATTAGAAATTAAAACTATAACAGAAGACAATCTATATAAGAGGACTAGTTATTTGAAAGATTTTTCAGTTTTTAAACATTCTAATTCTGATAAATTTTTTTATAAAATGGCATAGTTCTTGCTCACTAGAGGAATGTCCTCAGCATTTCTAATCTCATTACAATTTCAGTATTAAAGTGCTGCCTTCAAAGCAAAGAAGAAGCCTGTTACATGTCCCCCAGGTTAAAAGTTATTCTACCTCACATTCAGAAGTTAAAATACCGAAACTGTCTGTTTTGCTCAAAAACATGCTTTCAAAATCTGCCATCATTTTGTGAATGATTTTGAGTCTCAAACCATTTAATACTGTGTTTATTAATGTTGGTGTTCTTTTTACCACTTTGCTGTTAGGTCAAAATTATAAATATGCATATGGCAACTTCCAGCAGGAAGGATGGGTAAAGGTTTTAGTTTGTGCAAATTATTTCAACTACCATCTTATTATGCTATATTTCAAGCTTGAGAAAACATATTTTAAGATGGTAGAATGGTATTTTGTGTTAAGATAACAAATATCTAGATTATTACTTTCCTTTTCCCTTCAAGAAAGTTAGTTGCTTATTGCATGAAGAAAAGGGAGCTTTCAGGTTCTTTGAAATATATTTTATTAATGCTGCTTTTTTTAGTTTTGCTTGCACATATTTTGTTTATTTTTGGGTCTGGCAATTTAAAAACAAAATAAAAAAAAATCATACCCATCCATTACTATCTTTGTGATTCAAGTGCTTGAAATTTCCAAGAGTATGTCTGTATAAGTCTTCTATCTGTTTGGCCTCATTTTGGTATACTTGCAGACTTCATTTTGTTTTCTTTCTCTTAATTCTGTTAATTTGTTTAATCTCATGGGAGAGAAAACATGGTCATTCTTTTATATACTGTACTTCATTTTTCCATCCTCTTCATACTCCTAACTGCTTTGAATTCATATATTTGTTTTCATTAGTGGAGTTGCTGCAGTTTATCTGCCATGGTGGTGCTCAAGTATAACATAGATGGAAACAAGTTATTTCTCCAGTAGGAATTAATTCTTTATTTCTGCTTTGTGCCAACTCTGTAATATTAAATCTTTAAGGCTGCGTTGTAGTGTCAGAAATACCTTACTTTTACATTTTAATTTGTACATACTACTAAATCAGGTCAACTTAATTCTGGTAAATTTTAAAAAATTAAGTGTTAGTAAAGTTATCTTGTTGCTTTGAGTATATCTTTCTGGAAAAAAACTAAACTAAGGTAAAAATTTCTTTACACTTCTGTTACAAACTGATTACCTCTTTTACATTTTAAGCTTTAATCAAAATGTTTCAGACTTCACTTCATGAAGGTCTGGAAATGAAATTTGTTTTATAGCAGTTTTGGTGTTGACTACCTGAGCAATATGAAGTCTTTTTTTTAAAAAAAAAAAAAAAAAAAACCCAATATATATATACATAATCATCGATAGCTCATTTAAGCATCTACTTATCAACAGTTTTTCTTGTATTTTTCCTCATATTTTTTATTTCTCTATGACTTCTGATTTCTTAAAATGTTACTTCAATTAATTGAAGTACGTATTATAATTTTTTTTATTTCCCTAACATTTAAATTCATGATATGCTTCACAAAAGTATTGAACATGCTTGAGAAATAATTTGATTCTCTTAATTCATTTGCGTGTTCTGAATAGTTACCATTCTTTGCATGTCTATGGCTTGCTGTTTATGTTTAGAAGAATTGTACTTTGTTGTACTTAGAAACTTCTTTTGGTTTTACGTAATAAGGACATGGCACATGTATGCTACTTAAATCAGTTGCTGTAATGACTTTATGTATGCTCATTAGCAGCCAACAGTCAACACCATTGTTGGTCACAAAGAAACAACTTCATCTAATGAAACTTAACTGGATACATTTTTCATTCTCATTTTATTTGCTTAAGTTTAGTTTAGTTGTTCATGGTACAGGGTATTATGGAAAAGAAGACTTCATGACATTTTATTTTAATACTGGAAAAGTATTTTTACTATTTATAAATGTAAAACATGGCATCCAGTAATACACACACACTGACATTTTTTTCTCTCCCTTCCTCTCTCACTCAGTAAGTCTTTAATAATTCATAACTTTAAAAATATTTATATTCTTTAGCCCAACTTCTAGTCATTGATTTTAAGGAAATAAAACAGAAATTGGAATGATACTTTATAAATATTTATATTAAAATATTTTATCAATACTTTCCAGTGCATTTGTATCCTGTTTAGAAATTCTGAAGTAAAAGTAGTGACAAATTGTTCTTTTAGTTAGGAAAATTACCAAGTCCTTCTACCTGGAAAAATAGTACTCGTTCCAAGATGTCGGTAATTTTATAAAACAATTTTGTTCACTTGGCAGTCAGCATACTTCCTGGTAAAAAAGGAGCCAAAAGATGGTAAACCTTCTTGAAGTGGGTTCTTTTTTAATCATAAGCTATTCTAAATTTCTCTAGCTAGAAGTTAAAGCTTGAAATGTCAAATTAAAGACCCTTTTGAATGTGATACATGTTACACTAAATAATACTCAGTTGTATCTCTAACATCTTTTTGGGTTATGGGAGGGAAGTGGGATATTAAACAAAACTTCATTTCTTCAGGTAGGTATAAGTGTAGTAGTCAAACCAATTTTTAGTTATACATTGGAAACCATCAAATTATAAAAATTGCATTCCTCAGCCCTAATCTCTCTTTAATGGGCTATGGAGTTTTTTGTCCATATCACCCTTATCATTGCCTGTGTGGACCATATCTATTACTAATACTATTTTACTGATTTTTCTATTATTTCCAATTTTGAATTGATAATTCATGGCTTTTATTTCATTGCTTAACAATGTTTGTATCCTTTATTCAGCAAATAGTTTACACTGGCCTATTTTGTATCAGTCAAGATTTTTCTCAGGTAACAGCTTTATTATTATTATGTTTTTAATTAACAAAAGAGGTAGGGTTACATAAGAGAAAAAAACTAAAATTTTGAAAGGAGACTTTAAAACTAGTATTTCTAATTATGTGGAGATTATGGAAGATTTGTTTTTGTTACTTAACTATCTGTGCAAAATGATGCCACTGAACTCAGATGTGCTTGTTGGCTTTATTATATAGCCTGAATAAAAATTAAATGACATCTAATTGGTATATAAATTAAACCTTAAATATGAAAGCTGTTGATGTAGCTGTTTGAGAAAAATGACATATATGCATTTTTCTTTTATTTTTAAGCATATTTGCTTTCAATATTATTTCACAAATTATAAATTTTGCTAACTAAGAGGAAAGCTAAGTATTGCACAGTATGGTACTTACCGAAGAATTTGAAATTTATTTATTTATACTACCTCTTGCATTTATGCTATTCTTTGTCTAAATTTGTACACTGTAAACTGAATATATGTTGTTGTGTCTACTTTATATGATAAAATATTTTTAGTCTTTATATTTTTATTAATGAATTGAAGGGTTTGAATGGTCCTCTTTTTGCAGTTTCATCTTTAGGCAGAACTATTTCTCTTTGGATTAAAGAGCCTGATTTTTTAAAATGTTCTAGAACTTTCCTCGAAAAGCTTAGAAGAGCCCCCACAATTTTTAAAAATACATATATTTTTAATTTTTGTTGTTTATAAATGTTTAAGGGTTTAGCCCTGAGTAAAGAAACTAAACAAGCATGATCTATTACTTTCAGTTATTTCACAACACATATTGATAATCAATGTCATTTTAAAAGCAAAAAAAAAAACTATCATGATTCTTGCAAGGAATGTTTAATAAGGAAACTATTGTAAAATATGCTTTCTGCTTATAAGTTGGTTACATCAAGATATAGGTAAAGATGTAGCTCTTGTCACTTGAATATTGTATATAACATCAAGGTAGTACATGTTATTTTGCATATAAATCTTTGCACTGTGATCATTGCATGTATTCACTATATTTTTAATGTGTCAATTGTTTTCTCTTTATAGATTAGTATTTCAAAGTAACCATCCCATACCAATTCAAACTACCATCTGATCTCTAAGCTTATTGTATGAAAATCTTTTATCATTGTCCTCCATTGTGAATGTTTTATGATGAGCTACACCTGAGTTGTACATTTTCTTTTTCTTTTATTTGCTTCTGTATACAGGCTGGCTTAGCAGGAGCTCCAGCCCGTGCTGTATCAGCTGTAAAGAATATGAATCTTCCTGAGATCCCAAGAAATATTAACATTGGTGACATCAGTATAAAAGTGCCAAACCTGCCCTCTTTTAAATAAAAAATTAAAAAGGCTACTCCCAGGTAAAATCCAGGGGGGGAGTCATCCAAGTTTACCACGCAGTTGTTGACCAAAAATAGAGGAGGAGAGTCTTAACCTTTGCTCTTGGATATAAGTCGAGGTACTGTATAGAAGTTGTGTAAAGTCAGTATGTGAAGTTCAATGTTGCTTTTCTTGCTCAGTGATTTTAAAGAAATTGAGTAGTTCCTGTGTGATTTTTTTTCTTTTCTAAACTGCATTCCTGTGCCCACCTAAGGCATGCCTCTATGTATTGGCTACTACAGTATTTTGAAAAGTGTTTGAGGTATTTCTTTAATTATGTACAACCCAAAATGTTGATGTTTTGTATGGATCACAAGTACAGCATTCCTTAATTCCTTCTGCTGTTTGTCATAATTGTTATTTAAAGAACCATGTATGTATTGCATGAAAACCTTATGACCTTTTTCTCTTAGTTTAAATAAACTCCAAGGTAACTGGACTTATAAGCACCTTTCTGTTTGCCTGATATCTACTTTAGCAATAATTTTTTTTAATGCCCCTCTGACTCAACAGAGTAAATAAAAGTATATTTTATCACTGTTAAGCAGCTGTTAATGTTGATTTATTTAATTTTAAATCATATCTTTAACATTCAGAAACTCACTAAACTATTGTAAACTCAATTATTTTACAAATTAAGAGTAGTGTAGCTCATAGCATATTGTATACAATGGAGTCTGGAGTGGGAGGTGACAAATCTTTCTCTAAAATATATACAGTAAAACATGCGAAAGTCAGAACCTGGGTAAGGCAGAAACCTGTCAGGGAAGAAAAATGCAAATATTTTCCACTAAATAGAGAGCGATAGAAAAGTAGTAACTGCTCCCTGTCAATGAGCCCTGGTGGCACAGTGGTTGAAGCACTCAGCCGCTAACTGAAAGCTGGGTGGTTTAAACCCACCAGCCACTCCCAGGGAGAAAGATATGGCAGTCTGCTTCCGTAAAGATTACAGCCTTGGAAACCCTATGGGTCAGTTCTACTCTGTTCTGTAGGATCACTATGAGTCAGACTCGACTCGATGGCAGTAGTTTTATGGCATCCTGACAAAGGTGGAAAACTTGGGAGACCCAGAAAAAACAACACAGTCTTGTTGAGTTCCAGCTCTCACAGGTTTCACTGTATTGAGAAATTGCAAAATCTCTTTTATTTGCGTTTTAAGCATTGTATCTCATCCCTTCATACCTAGATGATGAAAAATAATTTCAGCAAATACTTTGTTAATTTTGAACACAAAAACCTTTAGGGCTCTACTTGACTATTCCCATCTGAAAGTCAAGGCTAAACTAATGTTTTCTTAAGTCCCAACACATATTCTAATTTCTCATAATTGGCCCACGTTTTCTTGGTATTGTGAACTGTGAGTTTCGCCTTCCAGTTAGACCAAGACTTTCCTTCCAGTACTAGTCCCCACTCCCCAGATGTTCTCCTTGAAATACTTCCTTGGATTTGTGGCATGTGTGAATTCCAGTCCATGAACTCTGGGCTGTAAGGAAAAGTCACTTTATTTTTTCTAAATAAAATTAACCTGGCTCTAAAACTCGTCCTGTTGAAGTGATAGGAAATTCGGTTTATGATTATTGGACTTTCCATCATCTCAGACATACGTGAAAGTTCTAGAGGAAGGTTGTACAAAGCAGAAATTATGGGAGGTGTCCTGGTCTTCAGCCATTCAGCAAATGTTTATTAAGTGCCTACTGTACCAGGTGAACAAGTCCCTGTCCTCTTGGAGCTATATATACAGTACCACACACAGCCCTGGCAGTGCCTTTTGTTTTTTTTTCTCCTCTTTGTTTTGTGGAGAAAAAATTGTGGGAAGATTATGTTTTGGTTTGGTTAGGATATGTCAAAATTAGGAAAACCTCTGCGACAGACTGTACTTTAACCTCTAGAAACAGACAAAAGGGTTTCACTTGCCATTATTTTCTATCAAATATAATGCCCAAACAACAAACCTACCAATCTAATCTACCTTCCATCTTTCATTTCTTCCATTCTCCTTTTCCTTCCTCCCTTCCTTCCCCTCTTGTCTCCTCCTTTTCTCAGTTATGTGCCAGGCATTGTTCTAGGTACTGGAATATAGGAGGGAACAAAACAGACAAAATTTATATTGGAGCATAAACTCATTTGGGGGCAAACAAACAATAAATATATAGTATGTCAGGTGGTGACAAGTGTTATGGAGAAAAATAAAGCTGGTAAAAGGGATAGGGAGTGGCAGGGTAGGGAGTGGGTTGGGCCGTCAATGTGTTACATAGAGTAGGTAGGGGAAGACATCTCTGATGAAGTGAAAAGACCTGAAGGAGGTAAGGGAGAACCATGGGGAAAAAGACCTACAGACCCATTGATATGGACCATCCAGATCACTCTCCACTAAAGCTCTTCTGCTGAAAAACCTTTCCCATGCACATAGAGCTCCCAGTCAGTGTTTTAGGGCCTCACATATGAGCAAACAGCCAAAGATCACAAACATTTAAAAAGAGCTTCTAATATGAATGGTGAAGGAACCCTGGTGGTGCAAACGGTTAAACACTTTGCTGCTATCGAAAGGCTGGCGCTTCAAACCCACCCAGCAACTCTGCAGGAGAAAGACCTGGTGATCTGCTTCTGTAAAAAAATTGCAGCCTAAAAAACTCTATGGGGGCAGTTCTTTTCTGTCACATGGCATCACTATGAGTTGAAATTGACTCGACAGCACCTAACAAAAATAACAGTATAAAAGGTGGAAACCAAAACAACATAATCAAGCTAATAGGAAAAACGATAAAATAAAAAATTATCATTACCATCTCCAATATATCAGGTGCCTCCTGTCACTTCAAAATCCTCTTGTCCCTACCACTTAACTCCAGCCACTGTTGCAGTGTCTAATTCTTCATGGTCTTGGACCAGCTTTACCCAAGTACAACTGAATATTGTCTTGTTTTTGGCCCTAATTGTAACCTCCTGCTCCCTGCCCTGGGACTTCTCTGCCAGCAGCTGGCTGGAATGCTTATAGGAACCCTCTTGACACCCTTTGGAAGTGAGGGGAAATTAATGCCATTTTGATACCTGGGAGTAGAATAAATACTTCTCCCTATTCATACTTTATCATGATGTTGCTTATTGGTCCAGTTGTGAGGATTTTTGTTTTCTTTATGTTGAGGTGTAAGCCATACTGAAGGCTGTGGTCTTTGATCTTCATCAGTAAGTGCTTCAAGTCCTCTTCACTTTCAGCAAGCAAGGTTGTATCATCTGCATGACGCGGGTTGTTAATGAGTCTTCCTGCAATCCTCATGCCCCGTTCTTCATATAGTCCAGCTTCTCGGATTATTAGCTCAGCATACAGATTGAATAGGTATGGTGAAAGGGTACAATGCTGGCGCACACCTTTCCTGACTTTAAACTATGCAGTATCCCCTTGTTCTTACAAACATGACTATAAACAGAAAAAAGATTGAAGTCATCAAGGATTTCATTTTATTTGGGTCCACAGTCAGCACCCATAGAAGCAGCAGTCAGGAAATCAAAAGACACATTGCATGGTGCAAATCTGCTGCAAAAGACTTCTTTAAAGTGTTAAAAAGCAAAGATGTCACCTTGAAGACTACGGTGCACCTGATTCAAGCCATGCTATTTTCAGTCGTCTCATATGCATACGAAAGGTGGACAATGAATAAGGAAGACCGAAGAAGAATTGACACCTTTGAGTTGTGTTGGCGAAGAACAAACAAATCTGTCTTGGAAGAAGTACAACCAGAATGCTCCTCAGAAGCAAGGATGGCGAGACTTCATCTGACATACTATGGACATGTTATCATTAGGGACCAGTCTCTGGAGAAGGACATCATGCTTGTTAAAGTAGAGGGTCAGCAAAAAAGAGGAAGACCCTCAACGAGATGGATTGACACAGTGCCTGCAACAATGGGCTCAGGCATAACGATTGTGAGCATGGTGCAGGACCGAACAGTGATTTGTTTTCTTGTACATAGGGTCACTATGAGTCAGAACTGACAAAATGGCACTTAACAACAAAAAATTATACTTTAGGCAGATAATTCTGAGAGTTTTCCTGTTTTTTGCTGTTTATTTGCATTCTTTTTGTTGTTGTTGTAAAAATACGTGTAACAGAGCATTTGCCAGTTGTCATGGATTAAATTGTGTCCCCTCAAAATATCTGTCAACTTGGCTAGGCCCTGATTCCCAGTATTGTATAATTGTCTAGCATTTTGTCATCTGATGTAATTTCCCTATGTGTTGTGAATCCTGTCACTATGATGTAATGAAGTGGAGTTGCTGGGACACTTCCACCAGAGCCACAGCAAGAGTTGCATTAACCTTTAATCTACAGCTGCCCTCCAGATTAATAGCAGGCTGTTTGTGTCAAGCAACCAGTTTGTAAGAAAATGAGCCCCCAGCCAGCATTCCTTCACAGGTGTTGATCTTGAGAGCTTAACCCAGTAAACTTCCTGTGCTGACCTAGGACGGTGTCATTGAGAACGAGGATTTTTAGTGTGGGAGAAGGTAGATACAATTATAAGAATAAGGTGAAGTAAAAACCTGTAGTCCTGAATTTCAGTTGCAAATATCAGTATGAATAAATGATGTTTTTTATCTTTAACAAAAATAAAACAGCAGTGAGCACCACTAATACCCAGGCTATTTCCTAATAAAAGGAGCCAGGTCTTTTCATAGAAATGGCTTATTACAGGTCAGGGGCAGGAAATGAAAAAGACAAGCCGAAATATCTTATACTGTAAAGCAAGGGAGTTACCAAGGACTGCTAGGGTTATGTCAGAAGGTGTCAGGAGCCTACTTGGAGAAATTTGAATATTGATAATAATAACTACCCATAAAAAAACCCATTGCCGTCAAGTGGATTCCGATTCAAAGCGACCCTATAGGACAGAGTAGAACTGCCCATGGGGTTTCCAAGGAGCAGCTGGTAAGTTCAAACTGCTGACCTTTTGGTTAGCAGCCAAACGCTTAACCACTGTGCCACCAGGGCTTCATAATAACTACAGTGGATTGAAAAAAACAAAATATCTTTAAATACGTTAATTTTAAAAAATCGTCATTAGTCATCTTTGTTGAAAGCTATAGAACTAACTCATTTGGAAATCTGGTAATTAAAGGAAAAGAGAAACATTCAGACAATTTGCCTTACCTTCCTATACTGAATATACCTCATACCTCAGAGTAACCAAATAGTTGATGAGAGTATATTTCTTTTTATAGAAATATTCTAGCTAATAAATGAAGAAGGAATGATAGAATTACAATATCACCATTTTGCAGCCCTTAATTAATGGATCTAGACAGTGATGATCGTGCTTGTTAACATAAAACCAAACATTGTTTACCTCCTTATTGAAATACACAATTTTGTGTGTCATCAATTATTGTGTGACTCATGGTGACCCCGTGTGAGAGAGTTGACCTACCGCGTAGGGTTTTCTTGGCTGTAATCTTTATGGGAGCAGACCACCAGGCCTTTCTCCTGTGGAGCTGCTGAGTGGGTTTGAACCATCAACTTTTTGCCTAGCAGTCAAGCACTTAACCATTTCA